CGGATTAAAAACCTTAGGGCTGATTGTTAAATTTTTTGATTTTTTACATCGAGAAATAATCTTGCTACTTTACAAAATGGCGCACGGGACAAAACCAACACACACATACAATTTCCAGCCACTGATGTTTCACCTGTCAGCCGATGTCAACTTTCAAGCTCTTTTTTGCTTCCGATGGTTTTGTCCCGCTATTTTGTAAAGTAGCAAGATTGTTCCTCGATGTAAAAAATCAACACTCAGTCCTAACATCAAGGAAAAAAATAAAACGATTTCCTTTTTTCGGTTTCTTTCCGGAAGTACTTTGAATTTCGAAACTTTCTAAGTGACATGTTGTTAGTTACCTAAATACGCGACTTTGTATCCTTTACCGTTTCCGTAATCCCATTGGTTAGGGTCGAATTTGATATAAAGCAGCTTAGATAAATGACAGATCAATTTTTGGTGCTGTTGCATTTTGTAGAACTTCCGATTTCACTGTTTTTTCACTTGAAACTTATAGAGGGTAGTCTGATACATTATTTTAAAACAAGAAAAGTGTGGATGAAGCACTTTTTTCATGAAAATTTTTTCCCAAAACATTGTACTTTTAACTGTTTTTCCACCATGAACTCCACCGCCATCTGCCGTATGACGTTGACGTTGACGTCTGTGCATATGTCATAGTATATGAGAGGCGCTTGCCTGCACTGTTGCCAGATTGGGCTCCGCGTTAAGGGGAAAGTATGAAAAGTGGAAAATTTATATACGTATATTTAAATAATGAAACACAAAAGCGAAAAACTGAAACAAACAACAGTGGCAAAATAAAAAGCGATTCTTAATAATTATATAACAAAATATAACAGTAGTAAACTAAAAAACAATTGTAAATAATTATAAAAAACAGTAAAACAAGAAACAATTCCATGTAATTATAGAAAACAAAAAAGAACACAGGGAACTGTGGGTCCTGGGCCTCTTCGATGTCTCCACGAAACGTGGGCACATTATTTATGTTCCAAATAGGAGTGCAACTACGCTTGAGAGCGAAATACTAAAATTTGTCAAGCCGGGAACAGAAATCTGGAAGGACGGTTGGGCCGGCTACAATCGCTTGGGGAACCTAGGAGGTGTTTCCCCCTACATCCATGAAACATTGAACCGCACACTAAATTTTGTGGATCCCGTGACAGGAGTGTGCACTAATGAAATTGAAGGGCACTGGTCTAGATTAAAGCAATTTTTGAGGCGGCTTTGTATCATGAAATCGCCTCATTTACCCGAATATATTGACCAGTTAATTTGGTGGGAGCTCTATGGTCCTAGACCCGGAGACCGATTCAAAAATATATTGCGACAAATTGCCGTAAAGTATACCTTTTAATATTGAATACTTTCTGTTCATTTTAGTTTTTGGATTTGTTTTTTAATTTACTGTTTTTACTTTTTGCTTTTGTTATCACTTTTTTTTTTTATATCGAAACAGCCGCGCAGGCAGAAGCCTAAATGCCGGAACACCGCGGCTGCTATGATGATCCCAAAGAAATTTTGTTAATACGATTTTTGAACTGCCTAAGGTTAGTAGAACTGGGAAAATCTTCCTCCCGTAGTTTGTTCCACAATCTAGACACCCTCGGGACAAAGGAGCGGTCGTATCGGCCAGTTCTGGATGTACGAAGTTTGACACGGTTAGGATGGGACGCCGAAGTCAGGCGGGTCTGTCTGGCAGGCACATCGTGCGGCGGCATCATGGAAGAGAGCTCTGAGGAGCAAAGCCCGTTGGTGTAGCGATAGAAAAGAGCTAGATCGCCGACGGCCCGCCGGTGCGAAAGAGTCCCGAGACTGTCTGTTAGAGAAGAGTCATCGATCAGTCGGACCGCCCTCCTCTGGACAGCATCGAGCATGGACAATGTAGTCGGGGCGGCAGCACCCCAAATGTGTGAGCAATACTGGAGGCTAGGCCTTATCTGGGCCTTGTATAGAGTGAGAAGGTCATGCGGAGAAAAGTACTTCTTAGCCCTAAACAAATAGCCTAGCTTTTTCCCAGCAGCTGCAGCTATTGAAGAGATGTGTTCGTGCCAGATCAGGTCCTCGGTGATCTGGACTCCGACCAGCCGAAATGAACGGCTCCTTGGTAGAACTCGACCGTCCATCGAAGCCGTATGAGCGCTAGGACGCTTTTTGTTCGTCAAAGTACAGTACTGTGTTTTGGACGCATTGAACTGTACAAGATTGTTGCGTCCCCAAGCAGTGATAGCTTCCAGGTCTCTTGTCAGAGAAGAAGTCGTCGCTAGTCTTCTTTTTTCCAGCTCAGCAGCAGAGATCGGCTTGTCACTCTGAATTCCTGCATGTCGAGTGCTGTCATCAGCGAAGCTGTGGATTGGGTTGATCGTGCAGGAAAGGAGGTCGTTGATATGTAAGAGAAACAGTGTTGGAGCCAAGACCGATTCCTGGGGAACACCCGCGTTGACGTTGTGGGATGAAGAGGAGAATCCGTCAATTACGACGGATATCTTGCGGCCAGAGATAAAGTCAGCCACCCATCTGCAAAGCTTTTCTGGGAGGCCGTAGGATGGAAGTTTGCTCAAGAGGGCAGCGTGCCACAGCTGATCGAACGCTTTCGTGATGTCAAGAGCAACGACATGAGCCTCACCATGAGACTGGATGAGCTTACTCCACAGTTGCGTGACGTAAGCTAGGAGGTCCCCTGTGGATCGTTGGTGCCGGAAACCGTACTGCCTGTCGCTAATCAAGCTGTGACGTTCGAGGTAGTCCAGAAGCTCGCGATTTATGCACCTCTCCATCACTTTACTTATAACAGAAAGCAGAGCTATAGGCCTGTAGTTGTAAGGGTCGGTTTTAGATCCTTTTTTTGGGATGGGCTGTACATGAGCAAATTTCCAGTTTTCTGGGAAGGTGCCGGATTCATAAGATATCTGGAAGAGACGCGAAAGAACTGGAGCAAGCTCCGCTGCACATCTCTTCAGTACAATGGCAGGAATCAAGTCCGGACCAGAAGCTTTGTTGATGTCGAGCGACAAGAGCACTCGTCTTACGGTCTTATGCCTGAATGTTACCTCCCGCATAGTGTGGGGAACCCTTTGAATTGACGGCACTTGGACGTTGGTGGGGACGTCCATGGTGGAGTTGGCAGCAAAGATCTTGGCTAGCACTTCCGCCTTGGCCTTTGAGTCGAATACAATAGTTCCATCCTGACACGTAAGTGGTGGAAGGCTACTGTGTGAGAAGTTCTTTTCAATCTGCTTGGCCAGCGTCCAGAAAGACCGACTGCCATTGCGCTGCGACATTACCCTGAGCCTAACTTTTATATCATGCTGGTTTTTGGCATTGCGAACCGCTTCGTTATATTTGTTTCTGGACTCGACGTCGGCTTGTCTGTTCTCTACAGTGGGGTTTTGTAAGTAGGTTCTGTGGGCCTTGATCTTCTGCTGGCGAGCAGTGTCACACGATTTGTTGAACCAGCCGTTGGACCCCGGTTTAGGAACTTTCACTGTGTGAGGGATGTATTCCTCCATTCCGATGTGGATAATTTCGGTTATTGAAGAACAGACAGTCGACGCATCCGCGTCAGTGAAACAGACATCTCTCCAAGGAAAGCTAGAGAAGAAGTGTCTGAGCCCCTCCCAGTCGGCCTAACATCCACAACACCGTGATCTGAGTTACCCAGGGGGGACAGGACAGCAGTGCTGTAAGGGGCAGGATGCGTGGTCAGAAAGAGATCCAGCAGGCTACTGGCGTGTGACGAGACGCGGGGGAAAAAAGTAGGGCTCGTCACCAGCTGGGTCAGCCCTTGAGTAAGAGCGAACGCTTCGACTGTACGACCTGCTGCATCGGTCTTATTTGAGCCCAACCAAAGCTCATTATGGGCATTGAAATCACCGAGAAGAACTATCTCTGAAGCGGGGTGATTGATGTTCAGGAAGTCGATCTGGACGGCGAGGTATTCGAATAGGTCATCCCAGTTATGGTTCGAGGAAGAGCGATAAAGGCAGCAAATAAATTTGGGTGATGTTTTGGAGTTGAGACGAAGCCACAGAATGTCCTTCCGGTCTGATTCCAAAGAAAGATCCCTGGAGCAGGAAAGACTGCTGCGGACAAAAGCCACAACTCCCCCGTTCTTTCTCAGATTGGAGTGCACCTCGTAGTTTGGGAAGCTGAGATGGTCAATCGGTGCAGTCTCTGAGATTTTTGTCTCCGCGAAGAAAAGCACGGCGGGACGATTGGATTGCAGGTAGTGATGAACAGCATCAATGTTGCTGTTGATCCCGCAGATGTTCGAAAAACAAATTTTATCTTGGATGTTGTTCCCTCGAGCCCACCCTCCATCCGGACATTCCGAGAGTGGAGTGAGTTTACGTCCGGAGTTTTTAGTGCTTGAGGGATCCATCATCATTAATTTCTTTGTTTTGGTAGATAACCGACTGCATAGCTTAGGTGTGGAAACATGCGGATATTTATAAGACACCCTGGGAAAAGCTAGCGGGTGGTACTGTCTCGGTCGGCTGGTCCTTGTCTACCACCTTCTTTTTACGTGTTAGTGATGTTAGATAGACCTAAAGTGGCCCGTTGGCGGACTTGTACCGCCACCCGGCAATCGGTACTGAGGTATTCCTTAACGCGTGCACAATCACTTGGACGGGAAGAAGTTGTATACTGGATACAACAACTTCCGGAACAAGCATTTGCCACGGCCCTCGCTCAGTAGGGTTCATTCATATTTTCCCCTAAATGCGGAGCCCAATCTGGCAACAGTGCAGGCAAGCGCCTCTCATATACACAGACGTCAACGTCATACGGCAGATGGCGGTGGAGTTAATGGTGGAAAAACTGTTAAAAATACAGTGTTTTGGGAAAAAAATTTCATGAAAAAAGTGCTTCATCCACACTTTTCTTGTTTTAAAATAATGTATCAGACTACCCTCTATAAGTTTCAAGTGAAAAAACAGTGAAATCGGAAGTTCTACAAAACGCAACGGCACCCAATTTTCATTTTCTTTCAGCGATCTGAATCGGAGACGTCCAGGAGGAGAACATCTGCTCAATCGCAGTTCTGATACTAGTACGTGTAATGAGCAATTTATTACAACGGCAAATTTAGATGACCGTAAAACTAAAAAAGATTCGGATTTGCTTCAGTTACTAGGAAAGTACACGAAAAGCCGCAAGCTATGTATCCAATGTAACGAGACTTTCACGAATTGTTTAAATTTAGATGAACATATAATTAGGAAGCACCCCGAATATTTGTCATGTGTTTCTAGGAAAATACATAAGTGCACAGATTGTACATACTTAACCGCCATAAAAGGAAATCTACGTAGACACATGCTGAAGCATGAACTGTATCCTGTCAAAAAAAAGAACGACAAAATGTCAACTTGCTGACTAAACTGTATCCATCGAAGAAACAAAGTAAAACGTATTGCACGTGTCAAGAACTTAACCGTAAGAGACGCTACAGGGCCGTATCAAGCTATTGTGACTGATCTATCAAAAAATGTCGTACAAGATATGTGTTGCTGTAAATTCTATCAAAAGCATAGTAAATTATCAGGAATATACCACGCCTTTCTAATCATATTTCGACATTAGGAATCAGTGCAAAAAATTCTGTATTCACCATTTCAGCAATATGTTACTAAAACGCACACGAAAAAAACTTGTGGACCATTTCAATTGAAATTGTTCATATTTTATTATTAACTTACATATATACCCAATAATATTTACAAATCAACCTTCTATTCACAATCCAGAGCAAATTTTTTTGAGCAAATAGAAACTACAGACAGTAGTAGTAGTACAAAAGTTTATTACAGACTCCATAAAGTTTGTTAGTTTGATTGCTATTAAAATTTACATGAGAAATAGGAAGAAGGTCAAAATGGCACTATTATGCTTTGGAACTCCTAAATTAACCCTAATTTTGTGTAATTATAAATTTGGAATTTCCACATTAATAACTAGAAACTTACACTTTGATTGCAGTCTATAATGAACTTACCTGTCTTGCCAAAAAGCCCGTTAAACTGCCAGTCTTAATGGTATCAATCGATTTATATGCTGTATTCCGAGGAGCTTGAATCATCAGAATTGTTGATGTCAATTATAAGGGGTTCAACTTGGGTGTCAATGATATTGTCCATATCCCACATTTTGGTTTCAACCTTCTCTTGGACATGGTCAATACATGTTCTCCATTTTACTGGCGTAATTCTATCGACGGCAACATCAAACAGTGTTTTAAGGTCAGAAAACTTAAAAGTGCTGTTATTTGACGCCACGTATTGCTTGATGTCGGCCCAAATCAACTCGATAGGATTCAGTTCGCAGTGATAGGGAGGCAGCCTGAGAATCGTTTTATTTTGGTTTTTGGCCATTTCGTCAACAATTTTTAAATCATATTTATACTTATGTCGCTTGACTATATTTATCAGCTCAGCTTTGACCATTGTTTGGTCGAAGTCGATCTTCTTTGAGACAAGCCACTGTTGAATGTCGGCCTTTTTGGTGGCCATTGTTGAAATTTTTTCCAATTTTCTGGAGTAGTACGGGGCATTATCCATCACAATACTTGCGTTATCATCAAGTGTCGGCAAAATTTTTTTGAACCAATTTTCAAATGAGTTACCATCCATTTCTTCGTGATAGTCTCCAGTTTTTTTGGATTCAAATGCCCACAATGCTTCAGGAACAAATCCATCTACGCTACCTATGTGGCAAATGATCAGGCGTTTTCCCTTGCCTGAAAGTAATTAGCTATTTTACTTCTCAGCGAGCGCACTAAATGACGAAATTAAGCAACTTACTCTTTTTAGGTTAGTGTAGGATAGGGTCTTAGATTAGTTTTTGAGTGAAGGAAATACTCAGAAACTTGGATGAGATAGCAAAACTGAGTTCGGAGCTTCCAAATCATTGATTCGATCAGAAAATCAATTATCTGCATCCAAAAAAGTTCATAATATACTTCGAAACTTACCTGCAGGATTTTTCAATCCCGTCGAAAGGCCATCTAAAAAAGCCTGCCTTGAGGACCTCACAGATCTGTCTACCCAAACCTTTCCCTGCGTATGCCCCGCGTTCACCCATGTTTCGTCTAAATAATAAATTTTTCTTCCTTCAGCGCGGAATTGCCTAATTTTTCTAAGGTATTCTCTCCTCCAGATAACAATTTCCTCCTTTTCTATCAATAAACTATTCCTTCCTCTTTTCAAAAATCGAAAGTCTAGTTCTTTCAACAGCTTATGGAACGTAGATCTTTTAAAATTTGGCAGGTCCTCATCATCATTCACTTGCTTCAATATTTTATCTATTGTAGGTATTTCATTCCTGAAGTAAAAGTGATGTACTTTTCTTCTAATGGCACTTTTGTCAAAGTCATCTATTTTTTCGATGATTTTTTTTCTCGCTGGATATGTTTTTGGCTCAGATAGTGAGTGATTTTGTCTATATTCCTTCAAGATTTTGTAAACACTTGATCGACCTACTCCAGAAATTTCAGCAACCTTACATACGATATTTTCTATAGCCAATCCACTATTCTCTTGCATCTGGTTCTTGTAGATATTTAGAATAATTTGTTTTTCACCTGCGCTAAGATGAAGCTTTTTAGCCCTTTTGCTGGGTGGCGTTAAGCTGATTTCAACCACTTCATCAGCTGTATCTGTATCAGACATTTAAGACTAATATTAAATTTCCGCAAGAAAAATCAAGTCAAGACGTGCATAAAACGTTCGCGCTCATAAGCGGGTATCCGTAACTGATTACAATCCTGTGCGTGGTGACGAACCATCAACGTGACGCTAAGAGTTCCCTCTACTATGCAGCGTTGGCAGGCTTAATGTCACAATGATCATGTTTTATTGGGAAAATTGTCAGAAATCGCCGAATGTTGAACAGAAACATTACAAGAAGTCTAACCTTGAAATGTGAGACTACAAATCGATATTCTTATAGGGGGGAAGGGTAGGGAGCTGTTATGGTTCCTATTAACCTTGGTGAAAGTTGGAAACGGTAATATCATATATGGCATACATTCGGTTGAAGGTGTGTGCACGGAAAATAGATTGCGGATAGGATTTTAATAGATAAATCTGCACAAAAAAACACAAAAGGAGATTTTTGTATTTCCCTGAAGAATATCTCAAGGTTATTTCAGATGTACTCATCGAAACTTTATGGAAGGATCGCATTAAAGTGAAAAATAAGACAATAGAAAAAAAAATCCCTCACTGATGCTATCTCTTAGGAAACATTTAACTATAAAGATTGCACAAAAATTTTCTTCACCTTTTTGAGCTTGTTTTCGCATCTCCGTATATGCCGTTCATAATTTGCTGCAGATCAAATTGGAATATACCTTTGTGATGCCATTTATTGTTATATAATGTCCTTTACAACAGTTATTGCACGTATTGCACCAACAGATTGATTTGTGATCCATGCGAATGTGATCAACCACTCTGGCGAAAACTCGCCGAGCGTGGCAACCGTGCGACTTTGTCTGGAGGCTCGTCGCTACAAGCCAATCAGGAAGAGGCCGACAAAGCGCCATGGCTACCGATCACGCGTTGATCACGAATCAACCACTGTTTACGATTACTTTGTAGCTTCGTTAGATACACTTTAGATAGCTGCTATTGTACAAACGGTTATTTCTGCGATTGCTAGCTGTGAACGCTGTGTCACCCATAGCGCCACCTATGGAGGAATGAGTCAACGACATGCTCAACCAGGGTTGCCATACTGGGGGATTTTCCCCCAAGTATGAGGAATTCTTATGGCCTTTGTTTAATTTTTGGGAGATAAAATGTTCTGGGGGAAAAATAAAATCGTTGGGTTTTTTAAGGGTATTTTATTCCATCTTTAAATACAAAAATCTGCCAACTGCCAAGTAACTTTATTCCACACCCATCTCCATCACGCTGACTTATCTCTCCTTACTTGTATTGTCTACGATTTTGCACGGATTTGATCGCCTGCGATTTCCCAATCCCCAAATAGCGAGGTGATAGTGAATGCTTATCGTTATGGGCAATCGTGGCTCAAGAAACAAGTTGTTCTAACAAGTTTGAAAAATATTTATGAAAATATATTAGTTTTCATTTTGAACATACATAAAAAATGGGAATTGGTGGACTCCAATGATTAGAAATATGAATATATTGTAATTTCTATACAGAGGTCGGTAGTTACGCCGTATAATCATGCTTTCAAGTAAAAAAAAAACTGTATTTCAATTAAACAAACCTTTCGAACCATCGAAAACGAAACCAACGCATTTACTGGCAGCTCAGTTTTTTTTTTGGAAAAACGCGCAGACCCGTCGATTTTGTTTTCGAGGGGGACACAAGTTTGGCAAAAAATCACGTTAACACGTGCAGCCCCCTGGGCGGGGGTGATACCAACCCTAAAATCTTAAATGGAAAGGGGGGTCGAGTGATACCTTATTTTAAAGGTCTTTCAATTCCCATTATAATGACATAAAATTAATGTACTTCAGTTCAGAAGTTTAGAAGATTTATTGATTTAAAGCTTAAAGTAGACTTTAATAGGTACATCAGATTAGTTTGTAATTGAATATCAGAATGATCGGCGGTACATTGCGAATAGGTTGATGTTCCGACAGGATGGTGCCCCACCACATTACGCATTACGTGTTCGACAACATTTAGATCAGACTTTTCCAGATCGATGGATTGGTAGAAGAGGTGCCATTGAATGGCCCCCAAGATCGCCAGATTTATCACCTTTGGATTTGTTTATGTGGGGTCATTTAAAAAGCAAAATCTATGCTACTCAGCCAACATCATTGGAAGGCCTGCGACAAAGAATTGTGAATGAGTGCCTTCAAATTACTCCTCAAATATTGCAAAATGTGCGGCAACGTTTTGAGCAAAATCCTTTTTCAACATTTACTTGCCTAACGGGTCAGTTCATTCTTCATTTTTAAATTACTTTGCTGCCAAATGTATTGATCTCCACTAATGATGATGTATTAGTTTTATTTAAGTTTAAATCAATAAATCTTCAAAACTACTGAACTGAAGTACATTAATTTTATATCATTATAAAGGGAATTGAAAGACCTTTAAAATAAGGTATCACTCGACCCCCCTTTCCATTTAAGGTTTTTGGGGGTGGTGTCACCCCCGCTTAGGGGGCTGCACGTGCTAACGTGATTTTTTTTGCCAAACTTGGGTCCCCCTCGAAAACAAAATTTGAGGGTCTGAGCGTTTTTCAAAAAAAAAACTGAGCTGCCAGTAAATGCGGCTGTTTCGTTTACGATGCGCCACCCTGTTGTTGATATCAGCGATGTTGCCAAATCTACAGATTTTATTCGATATTTGTATTCTGCGAGAAATTCTGCATACTTTTCATGAAACCTTATAGTTTTCGAAATAACAATAAAAGGTATTTTTTAACCTAAGCACGGAAAATAACTTCCTGTGACATCTGACATTGAAAAGTCCTTTGAGTTTTGTTAGTGGAGCTAATAAAAGTATGATTTATTTAACTAAAACCGACAATCATTAGAATGTCTATTCTCTCGGTTTCAGTTGAATGGACTATTCCCAATAACTCTACTAACAAGACTCGATAGACTTTTGAATGTCAGAGATGACAGGAAATTATTTTCGATACAGATACGTCGCTTAGGTAAAAAAAAACCTTTTATTGTTGAGCTATTAATGTTTGACTGCGAATATTTCGAAAACTCGGAGGTCTACGTCAAAGTATGTTTAACCCAGATATGCCCATTCATAAACATTTATTAATAAAGAGCACTCTTTGAGCTTGGTGGGTTTTTCTGTGATAAATAAACATGTTCTAAAAAAAAATTAAATTTATTATTGGAAAACTATTCTTTGTTAGCCGTACTACATATAGAACGGTGGGCATATAGGCAACCATCTAATTCATTTTAGTTGTGTGATAAAGCACGAAACACTTCACATGTAATCCTTTATCACACTTGCTGCATCTAGTAATGGTCTTATCATGGCAGTGTGCACACCTGGTCGGTTTATCTTGGGGTATAACCAGATGATCTGTATGATCATAGCGAATATCTATTCCTTCTTCCCTTGACATATGCCCTCTTGATGTGGTTTGTTTTTTGTTTTGTAATAATAATGCTGTGGCTATTCTCCTCCTAAATCCTAATTGGTCCAAGTTACCACCTCGTGTGCGATGAGTGGAAAATACCACTTTTTACCTCTTATAGATATACGATACGATAGAGACTGATCTTCTGGTCGTATCTATCTACACCCCCCGTATTCGCGTTATGCAGATTGATCAAATGCGGCTGCTGCACCTGAAATTATTTATAATAGTAATAATTTTCATTATTTTATACAGGGTGACTTCGAAGTTGAGTCATTTATTTTAACAGTGAGTAGATCTGATCAAAAGAAATGTTTTTTTCCTTTATCATTTTTCTGGTAAAATTAAAGTAACAAAGTTATAGCCCTTTGGAAGTTTGAGTACCGCCCTGTCTCAATAATATCATGTGCTCGTGTTTGGCAACAACGGATATAATCCGCCTTATCGGTTCATCGCATCGGAAACAAAAAAGCGAAAGAATTTGGAACGATGTTTTTACAATTATTTTATTCAGTTCAGTTATACATACAGTCAGTGTCAGTCGCGTGTGAATAGTGTCTGTTGCGTGGCTCAAACGAAATAAAAAATGGCACATGTTTATGCGGATCGGTTTCCCAATCGAGTGCAACCAACCCCTCGTGCCTTTGTTAATGTAGTACAACGGGCTCGTGAATCAGGTGACTTAAGACCTCACAGGGGACCTCACGATCAAATACAGGTCCGAACTGAAATACTTGTCGGGAGGATACTTTATAAAACAAGGTAAACATTTTTTTTATTTTTTTTTTATTTTTACACACATATTTTGGTTTATCTTCCTTCTACAATCATTATCTGAAAATTAATGACTCAACTTCAAAGTCACCCTGTATACACAAACAAATACAAACGAGATTAGTAAACAATAAACAGACCATACAAAAAAGTTAAAACTTGTACCCAATTTGTATTCAAATGAAAAAAAAGCTATTGACTTTACCTGTATGATTTTCTTCTCTTGACGAGAAAATCTTCTCACGGAATGAATCGGATTCACACCTGCATAATTTGAGCATAATGTTACGATGCTGTTATCGTGCCACTTGACGATGATAATATTTTTGTTTTCGACCTTTTTATAATCATAATGACCTCTTGCTTTTTTCTTCATGTTTTTCGAATCCGTCAAAGGACTGTTGGTGATCCGATTTTCACGGATGGTACCCGTACCCCTGATATCCTTTTCTGTGAGTATTTCTAGGAGAGGTATGGTTGAAAAAAAGTTATCAAAGTAAATATGCATTTTCTCATTTGGCCATCTTTGCTTCAAAACGTCTGTGTACTCTAGAACTACGGACGGGCCCACTCCATAAGCAGCATACTGAAGACTAATATTGGTTGATGCACCTTGATATGGTTCAAACCAATTGACATATCCTAATCGGGTTGCACCCACCCATAGCTTGTACCCGTACCGTATTGGCTTATCATGAATAAATTGCTTACATCCGTGGCGACCAAAGTATGGAACCATAGCCTCACCGACACAGTGCATCTCTTCACATGAGCTGTTTTGTAGAAACTTTTTGTTCAGATGAGTAATCAGCGGTCTAACTTTCGCAAATTTATCGGTGACATCTATTTTCGTGTTGTCTGCTAAATGGAAATGAGATAAAATGAATTAGAACTTGTTACGTGGCATAGCACCAGCAACTAGCTGATTATGACTATCTCTTTCATACTCCCAGAACATTCGTCTTCTTGGAACTGAAATATACCCACTAAGGTTTGTTTCTCTTACAATGACTTCAACTATTTCCTCATCAAAAAATAGTGAAAATAAATTCAGAGGATTTTCAGAGTTTACTTCATCAGCCTGATCGATGATAGCTGCATTCGAGGCTCCATCACTAGGACTAGGAAAGAGGTCATCGTTTGTCCACTTGTAGCTCTTTTTTGGTACCTTTTTACCACTATGTTGTTTTTGTGATTTTCTTTCTCTCAGGTGTATAAGAGGAATTTCGTCTTCCATTTGGGAAGTACTAGAGCTTACGTCATTATCACGATAACTTATTTCCGCAGGGGCTCGAATTTGGTTTCCGGGTAGGTTATCTATGGAAAATGCATTCTCCTCACCTGAATCTTCATCAGTATAATTTCCAGATTCATTATCTGGCGGCAAAATTGTCAAAGGTCTCTATGTTTTCCGCCATATCTTCGTCCTCATCTAGCATCGCCAAGGTCTCCTCCAAAGAAAAGCCTCTGTAATGGAAATGTTCATAGTCGTATAAATGCCCACCGTACTACATATAGGACGCTTCAAAAAAAGGGTCTAGAGGGACCTTTTGCATACTTTGAATTTACTTTGACACATTTACATCCATAAATCAGATGTTTATGTACATATTTCAATATATAAACAGAAAATATTTGAACTCACCGGGCAAAGCGTACACCATATTCGGCCATGATCACAAATTCGAGGGATCTAAATCGGAATAAATACTCTTCACAACAGTTAGCGTTAGTTTTTTAGCTACATTCATAGTTACCGTTTCTTGCTTGACGGATGTAAGCATCCCACAAACCGGCGCGAAATATTCGCTTTGGCTGCGAAAATTTCGCGGCGATGAATTCGCGATCAGATTAAAACGCGGCGGTTTACGGACAGGCTCAGACTTGTGCGAAGCGAATGCGATTGTTCCAACGTTTTTATCGCGGCGTATTTCAGTTCGCCTTTGACCGCGTTTTTGACGCCGTTCTTCAAAAATTCGCAATGGCAAAAACGGAATTATTGATAGAAATAGTGAAAAAGTATCCTTGTTTGTATGATTTGTCGAACGATGAATACAGGAATGTGAGAAAGAAAGACAAGATTTGGATGGAAATAGGAAAAGAATTAAATACAAATGGTATGTACCTAATATTTTTTATTAACTTGTTAAATAATTTACAGTCTACACAAATGTGAAAACGAACATTCTATATATTGGGCATAGGCATATCAGAATTAAAATAATTTACGAATTTGTCACGAGTAGAAAATGCTAGCCTTGCTGCCCGCCGAGGATCATTTGCTATATCAGTAAAAGCTCCAAGCACGGGTTCTGGGGGATCTAAGAATTGAAAATATTTGTCAACGCCACTTTTACTTCGTAAAAAATTGTGTAAAACGCATGCCGTACGTACAATTAGAATAGTAGTATCTACTTTAGTTTCTAATGGCCTGTAAAATATTCGCCATTTTTGAGACAAAATACCAAACGCATTTTCCACGACCCTTCTAGCTCGACAAAGTCTTACATTGTATTTCTCTTTTCTGACGTCTGTTAAAGTCTGCTTATAAGGAAATGGTCTCATAAGGTATGGTTTTAAAGCAAATGCTTCATCACCAATTAAGACGTACGAGCAGATTTAATTTTGCCCAGGGAGAAATCTAGGTGCAGGGACACTCATTAAATTTTGTTCAAATCGTTTTCCCATGTTTGAGGTTTCGAAAATACCCCCATCACTATTTTTTCCGAAACCACCAATATCAACACATATAAATTTTTATAGTCCGGGCCAACAATGGCCATAAGTACTATTGAATATTTATGTAAATAGCACCAGTAATTGGAGCCACTGTTGTTAGGTCTCTTGATTGTTACATGTTTACCGTCCACGCTGCAATGCAATTTGGAAATCCCCATCTATTTTCAAATTCTTCAGCACATTTATTCCATATATTCTCTGTTGGTTCTGGTAAATATATATGTTCCATATGTCTGCATATCGCTTCACAGACTTCGGTTACGATTGCACTCACTGTTGTAAAGCCAACTCGAAAGCTATGCCCAATGGTATAGAGGGTGTCACCAGTGGTAAGGAATCTATAAAAAAAATCGTTTTTAGGTGATGAAGTAAAAAAAAGGTGGAAGAATATCAGAGACACATTTGCAAAATATATAAAATCTACCAAACCAAAGACCGGCCAAGCAGTGGGCAACATAAAGAAATGGCAGTGGGCTGACTACATAGAATTTTTCCGTCCTTTTTAGGCATTCGCCAAAACGTCGTCTAATGTGAAAGATATTGACGTCATACATTATGAGACTGCCGAATTTAACTCAAATATATATCAGGAAAGGGCTGGAAATGTAGAAACCGAAAATTTGGAAGACCGCGGCCATGGAGAAGATGAAAATGCTGATGTAGATGCAGAAGATACAAAGAACGCCTCGGCAACACAGACAGCACCACCTTCTTCATTGAACACTACAGCAGTGACTACTCCAGGGCACACCTTTCCGCAGACTGCAACTACACCAAAATATAAAACCAGCAGAAAACGCTATGAACCACCATCTTCGTCTGTACAACAGATCATTAATTATTTTGAAGGTAAAAAACCTAAAAAAGTGAACGAGGCCATTGATTCACTTTTCTTGGCACATGCACAGACTGTGAAAACACTTCCCTTAAAGCGTCAAGCCCGAATAAAACTAAAAATAGCCGATTTAATAGCGCACGAAGAATTTGAACATATTGAAGAAATGTCTTCAGCGTCTACCCAGAATTCTGCAAGTATGTATGATAGTAGTATGTCGTCCTTCCCAAGCGGCACTGGGTTTACTCCAATAATATGCCCAACAGAGGAGGCAAATTCTGCCTCGAATTATTTAGCAACATTTAATCCTAGTGGCAACATGTAGTCCAATTATTACAATAAAATATTTATTTCACGATAACTGAAGTTTTCGTATTCGATAAGCCTACTAATTTTAATACATAATAATTTTTTTACCTGAGTGTAATAGCAAGTCGTTCTTCTGGCGAAATAGCTTCAGGATAATTTGTGTCAGATTTTCGTATTTCATCTTTCACCAAGTTCAATATTTCATCGAAACACTCTGGAGTCATTCTAAAATATACGTAAAAGCGCTGCTCATCCAGCCGAAGTTGTGGCATCAAGGTATGGTATTCCCCAAATTTATTTCGTTCCAAGTTAATATCATGTACCCACTTCCTTCGTTTCCTAAACAAAATTGAAAATATTTGTTTTATGTACTTCGTTAAACTTAATACATACCCAGCTATCAAATGGCGTTAAATAAACATAACTTACCGTGCATTTTGTTCCTCTTCTAAAGCAAGAAATAGTAGTGCCTCCTCTTCTTCTGAAGACGAGCTCATTGCAAAAGGCAAAAATAAAATGTACGCAACCTGTCGAAACCTTCACGTTCGCGGAGCGAATAAGACGCTTTGGTATGAATAAACAGGCGAAACAGATTGCGAATTTCGCTCTGAATTTCGTTGCGAATACTTCGCCGCGATTATTTCGTGCTGGTTTGTGGGATGCTGTAGGCAACACATAATATCGCTACTTGCGTAACTGGAGTGTGGGGTGCGTTTTTATGGGTGTACTATATGTAGTACAGTGGGCATATCTGGGTTTTAATGAAGAGTATTCAGAATTTCTCGCAGAATACAAATATCAAACAAAAGGTATAGCATTCCATAAGGAAATCAAAATGCTGTCAGTTTCTGAAAAACTGTAGATTTGGCAATATCGCGGATATCATCAACGGATCCGCCGTCGTTTCTAACTTAAAAGTCATTCGTCGGATATTCGATACGTTCCAAACTTTTGTTACAGTCCGTATGCAATAGATAAGAACTAAACGTTGTTGTTATGTATATTTTTCCTTCAAAGCATTTGCATTGTTGCCGTGCGTCACATCTAGGCGCTTATTTGTATTTTCTACTTGACATCGTAAAATGAATTTCTATAAAATTTAAGTGACTGGAAATGAAAAACAATGTAAAATGTAATAACCTCACTTTTCACAAATATTCCTATCTGTAGCCTATTTTCTCACCTGTTCGTTGTAATATACTTCACCAACCAGAGATTTTGTTTTTTATTTCTCACATTTTTGAATCTCCGCAAATTTGCAAATGGATGAAGCCTACATTTCAAGTAAGTGTACTTGCGACAATAAACCAAGGGAATTTTATCATCAACACAGATTATTAGCACTCAAATGCTCAGTAAGCACAGTTCGGAATTGGGCCAGCTACAAAGATTTGAGAAAGTATGCCCTTGCATCGCTTAGAAGAGAGAAAAAAGCATATATGTCACGTTTCGGGAATCTTAACTCTAGACAAGCTTGGAAACACCTGAGGAGGATGAATGTGGTAGCCCAGAAACATGTTGCGATACCTCCCAGTCTCCTTGAGCCTAACATTTTAAATAATTATTTTCTCTCAATTTTCCATACAGCTGCTGCTGATCCAAATTTGATTGATAGTGTCTGTAACTCTTATAGCGATAGACGCCATACACCTGATGCACCTCTGTTTGCTTTTAAACTCCTTACTCAGCAAGACATCGTCAATATAATATCTCACATTAAGTCTACGGTATGTGGCTCTGATGGTCCAACTTTAAATATGGTTTGCTTATGTTTGCCTGATACCATAGACCATATAACTCACATTATTAATGTCTGTCTCGAAACAGGTTACTTTCCTGCCAGTTGGAAAAATGGTATTATTATTCCAATAGCTAAAACTAATCATCCAGAACAATATGCTGATCTCAGGCCAATTACCTTATTATGCTTTCTATCAAAAATACTCGAAAGAGCTACTCACAACTAGTGGAGTTTTTCGAACAAAATCACTTATTTCCTCTACATCAGTCAGGTTTCAGAGCTGGTTACAGCCCTACTTCGTCTTTATTACTTCTTACTGATTCCATCATTCACAATTTAGATAATCACATCAACACCGTCTTGGTACTGTTAGATTTCTCGAAAGCCTTTGATATGGTCAATCACCAGATATTACTGAGTAAGTTATCTCATTATGGAATGTCAGATATAGTTCTAAGGTTCTTTGAGTCATGCTTGCTAAATCGTCAACAAACAGTGAAAACTGATCAGGGAATTTTCTCCACTGAGCCAGTTCCTTCAGGAGTTCCACAGGGTTCAGTATTAGGTCCCTTACTATATCTGATTTATACGATCGATCTGCAAGACTGTTTAGTCCACTGTTGTATGCAAACTTATGTAGATGATACTCAATTAGTGTTTGGTTTCGATCCATCAAAGGTTGATGAAGTTTCTTTTAAAGTTAATTTAGATTTGGCTAACATCGGTGATTACTGTAACAAACACTGCTTGAAGATCAATCCTAATAAAACTACTGCAATGTTGTACTGTTCGAAGAACTCCTACCGTGAAATGAAGCAGAGGATTTGTGTTTTTCTGGATGAGACACTCATTCCTTTTGTGGATTACTCCAAGAATCTCGGTGTTGCCCTTGACTTAAATATGAGATTCGATCGGCATGTCTCTTTCTTATCTAGAGTAACGTATATGCGGTTGAAACTCCTCTATTCTAATCGATACATCTTGAATTTTAAAACCCGAAAAAAGCTCGCCGAAAGTCTTGTGTTGTCTGTCATTTCTTACTCTCTTGTTCTTTATTACTCACGTTTAGACTACGTCCATAAAAGGAAACTCCAGAAAATTCAGAACAGCTGTTGTAGGTTTATTTTTGGATTGCGTAAGTTTAGTCGCGTCTCAGATAAAATCAAAGAACTCAACTGGTTGCGAATTGATAAGTTATTTTTATATCTGTCCACCGTCTTCACGCATAAAGTTCTATTATCTAACAGACCAGCTTTCCTTGCTTGCAAATTAGTTCCCCGTGGTAGTTTTGTTACCAGAGCTCTTAGATGCTAATTTTAACATACCTCCTCACAATACCTCGGTCTTTGAAAGAGGTTACACCTATAATGCAGTCAATAGTGGCTATTGATCCAAACAGGTTGCTTCTTTTAAGAAATTAATGAAAAGTCAACTGCTGGAGTCCATTTAGTTCAGTTTTTCTTGTGTTCATATGCTTTTCTTTTGACTATTTTCTACTATTTTTGTTTCAAATTCAGAACTCTCACAATACTATCTGCATTTGTCTCGTGCAGCCAATATTGTCATGCTTATGAACTGTATCTTTTTTGTATGTTATTATTTTGTTTATGTGTTTAAGTATTTTTGTTCTGTTGTGGGGTTGAGCGTATGAGTAGCCGTCTGGTTAAACTTCGCCTCACTGCAGCTAATAAAGGCATTATTATTATTATTACTAGTTCCAAGTTGGCGTTTTACAGGAACACCTACGAAATGCCACAAAAAACGTATATAATGACAAAAAACCCACATAATGTCACTTTTCAATATACGTATTGCCATCATAAGGATATAAAAAGAAAACTACGTAGAAATGGATACAGCTTAGTGTTATTACTAATTCGTCATACAATTGTAAGTAGTTATTAACACCCTATCAATTATCGAAATAAAATCTAGCAAAAAGAACAACAAATAGAGTATTGCGTTCAGAATTTAACGCGTATGCGTATTTGAAAGTATTCGTCCCGCTATTTCATGTTCCTGTTTATTCTAATGAAGTCTGTCGCTCCAGCATCTTTGGTTTTTGTTCATTACTAATTCGTTACTTAATTAATTATAGTTTAAAAACTATAAAAACGGGCTTTAATAGCACATCTAACTAAAAAGTAGAAAACAATTTTCAAGCGTAGGATAGTTTGTGTTACTGGAAGTCCAACAATCAAGCATGGCTAATTATTTGGAATAAGATCAATATAAATATTGCGATATTAATAAAGGATTCAGTTACATTAAAAAAACGTGAGCTGTTTGATATTAAATATTAGAATGAATTTTTTAGTTTCTTAAATATGGTTAATTGCACTCCACGCTTTTTTAAGTTTATTGAATTCTTTGTTAATATCTCGATTTTTACATTGATCTTATATCAAATTAGTTAGTCATACTTGATTGTTGGACTTTCTATTCTATTTCTTTAAAAATCTCAAATTTTTTTTCAGTATTTCCAAAGCATCAAATTATTTTTCAAATTTCCGAATTATACAATTATTTTCCAAATTTTCAAACACAGATTTAAAAATTTGTATATTCGATTTTTTTAAAATTGATGAAAATTTGGTTGAAAGATTCTCTCATCATCATACCAGGCATGGGATTAATAATATTCTACGAATACCCCAAGTCCAGAAAGTTAAAACACAAAGAAGTCATACCTATCTCGGTCCTGCATTTT